GTGCATTCGGTTAAATAAGCTGCTTCAAGGGCAACTTTATTTTTCGTAGTTTTTTGTCATCAACCCCAGCTGGCAATAGTTTACTCATGAGAAAGTATCGTAGGCAGGTTTTGGAACTGGGACTAAAATCTCCCAGATATGATACCTGTGAGTTCCCTCACTGCAGTTATTTAAGTTGTAATATCAAGCGGTCATTTATTCCAAAGGTCGTTATTGTTTAACGATAAACTTACAGATGTCCTTGCCGCTTGCATACATGCGAACATGCGATTCATGGCTTCCAAAATTTGTTCTCGAATTTGTGGGAATTTTCTCTCCATTGCAAACTTTTTTTTATTTGTTTTGAGCTCAGTCTCAGTAAGATTTTGAAGTCGCATACATGAGTATAAGCGGAGTAAAACCAGTCAAATTATTTTTATAGATCTGTTTTATAGAGAATGTTAATATTTCTGACTTTACCGTTACGTCCAGCAAACTATATAATATCTACATACAATTTTTGTAGAACTTTCTTGAATGAACTTTAGTTTCTCAATTACTTTTACGATTCCTTTGAGAAATGAAAAATCTAAAGTACTCCTGCCATTCCATTACTTATTACATTTTCAATTCCTCTTAAAGGAGTTGAAAAAAATTACACTATCAGCACATACATAATTAATTCCAATTACAAAATACAATTCCCTATAACAAAAAAAAAATACTTTTTAAATTACATATTTCTAATACTGGCTACAGAGTGTGCAACCGTTTAGCCAACGTGTTTAGGCAACCTGATTTTCTTGTTCAATACACACGAGGCAACTATTACGGCAACCTTAGTAGAATGTGTTCTGTTCTGAAATAAACGTGCAGAAAAAAATTTTGTTTTCTACAAAAACCCCTTTTCAGGTAACTTGTTTTCAACGAACTAAGCCAATAAAATCAGGACACCACGAGGCAACCGACTCGGCAACAAACACAAAATATCAAAATAACAGAGTAATTCATCTAAACGCCCAAATGCCTCGTAACCATGTTAACCATGTAAAACTCGTAAACTTACTTAATTTTGTATAGAAAATCGGTTTATTTATGAGGTTTACGCGGTTACAAGGTATTTACGCGTTTCCATGTATACCAATAATTTGATTTTCGGGCGAAGGTTGCGGAATCACGAATTTCAATGAACAACAATGCCACATACGAGGCAACGGGCGAAGCAATATGCATTGGTTGCTTCAATGGTTGCCTCGTTTGTAGTCAGCATAAGGAATTTGAAAAAGAAAACAAATTCCTTTAGTGGGGACTGAAGGAATTCATTACCAATTGCAATTTCAGAGAAATGTAATTGAATAACGGACAACAGTTAAAAATTTACACTGATGTGTCAAACGCTGACAAACCTTAAACAACTTATTAAATTTTAAAAGAAACATATGAATCTCTGACTAAACTAGAAACTTCCTCGTCATTTAATCAATTTTTTAAGCGGTCACCCCTGACACGCTATGACAAACGTCAGAGTGTACAACTCACAGAAAATTTAGGTAGATTCGCATGGAAATATCTCCAATTATTGCAATTATTTTTTGTATTAATTGTGTCGAATCTGTACGAGCCCAAGCAGACATATTTTTGGACCGGCTTTTAGAATTGTACCTCTTTTGAAACCATTTGCCTTTCGGATGTAGTCTCAAATTATAGCTCCCTTCATTTGTGTTAGAACCAGATCACAAATTTAAATAAAAGTTCGACCAAACCTTTAAGAAATACTCTTGTTTTTAAAGTTTAAATTTAAGCTCCACTACCATTTGGCCGCTTATGAAGTATTTAACTTTGGTTTTGCAAGAGTTCTTTGTGTTGTCGTGTCACATTGTTAATGAACAATTTTAGGAACGAGATAATTTACTTACCCAAATATCTTGTTGCTCTTTTACTTTACCTCTAGATTACACTCGAGATTTACGGCATGACCGCCCAGCGTGAAGTTTTGCCACACGAGGTGAAATATCATATACATCTTAATAAAAAATCTGGTATCAAAACGCCTAAAAAGAAAGGCAGTGAAAACCGTTTAGTTATGCCTCCTGTACAAAGTCCAGCTGGGCCGAATGTCGTGCGTACTCCTGCCTTAGTGCAGTATGGCTTTGCTATATTCTCCTTACGCGAGATACAACGCACATCTTGGACACTAACACAGGTATATTTTATTCAATCATCTACTATTCGAAGTAATTTTCTTTTCTTGCTTTGTTGACACAGGTTCTCGGTGTTAGCCCTCTAGAAGGCGTAGTGCATATGAAAGCGAACTGTGAATTATCGGTTTTGGTCGAACATCGCGGCTTTCTAACCATGTTCGAAGACATTTCTGGATTTGGTGCCTGGCATCGTCGCTGGTGCTATTTAAATGGAAGCGTACTTAATTATTGGAAGTATCCCGATGATGAGCGCAAAAAGGCGCCTATCGGCTCAATTGATCTGTACGCTTGTCGCACGCAGAAAGTAACTGTTGCACCACGTGATATATGCGCACGCCTTAACACTATGTTGCTTGAGTTTGAGAGACCGGCGAGAGAGAATGATGAGGAGTCGCTAATTATCATTCCAAATGGGCGGAATACAATCGTGCGATACCTTCTTTCAGCTGATACGAAAGAGGAACGGGAACTATGGTGTGCGTATTTCAATAAAGTTTTACTCTTGCTGCGAGCTTGGGGATCACCACAATAACTAATGAGTTTCGGAAACTCGAAAAAAACAGCTTTTTCGGTTAGGTGTTTCGGGGAGAATTGAGAGATACCTACATACATATGTATGTATATAGTTATTTTTCAGCTTCATCTTATCTTTCATTATACCATTCAACATATCATTTTGTTTTTGAGAAAACACCTGTTTCTAATTTCCACGGTAATAATGCATTATAAAACGTGCTGCCAAAGTCGTATTATACAAAAAGAGTGTGTCTCAACAGCATTCACATTACAATTTCACAGTTGGCATCCCGACACTTCGAAAATTACATATATTTACCAAATATTCATATAATTTGAATGTAACTATTGGTTCAAGCAATCAAAATCATACGCTGCTATGGCTATGGCTTCAAAGAAATTAATTTTGTTCGTGGCATTAAATAATGAATGCATTTTGGTTTGTAACTATTTGAAACTTGTAAAAAAAAATTTTTAGTACATACGTATGTATGTATTTATTCGTTATTCATATATGTATGAAGTGAATACTTCTCCTTGGAAGCGAGAGCTCGTTGAACATTTATTATTAGTATTATCTTTTAGCTATAGTAAGGTGTTTTCATATACATAAGTATGTATTGTATTAATGCATTGCTCGTAAATGTATATACACAATTTTAATTGCCTATATTTGTATTTTGCTAAAATTTCACAAGTTAATGTTTATTTATAAAAACGAAAAAAAAAATATTCTATCTATTGGGTTTTTTTTTTATTTGGGTTTTGTTGGGAGTTCACAATACGCCAGGTTGTTCCTCCGTTCTTTAGTTATCTATCCCGGATTGTAGGGTTGTCAATAGTGCCGCCCACAAAATCGGTATCTTCTATTGATTCGCTTTTGTATCTGTTTGACTGCCTTTAGCTTGTTGAAAACGATTGCATTTTTTAAATGCATTATATTTGTATATATAGCTTTTTTCCCGGTGAAGAACGAGGTGGACGGTATTGTACAACGGACAAACTTTACTTTCTTTTAATTTAGAATATAACCTACGTTTTTTTTTAGAAAATTGGATAATTGAATATCTTTGTCATAATCCCAATCGCGAAGTATGTCGAAAAAGTTTGCGTTATTTCGAAAGATTGTGAAGCCACCCCGAATGCAGCTTACTCAACTAACGGAAGACCCAAGAAGCGTGCAGCCGCTATAGGGTCTGTCCACAGGGACAGAGCCGTCAGTTGCGTGGGGCTTTCCAGGCATACGAAGAGATGTTTCGAGTCGTGGGGTGTCTCTCCGCATGCCGGACACTCTTTTAGCACATCTGCATCTAATATGCCCAGGTATGAGTTCAACCTGCTGCAGTAGCCAGAGCGTCATATGTATGCCCCGTGAGTAGTCTATTTATTGTTTTTGTTTCCCTAGGATCTAGAATGTTTGCATAGAACCAAATCTTTTTTGGTTTCGTAGTGAAAATTTGTGCAACAAGATTGGGTTTGGTGGCCGAGAAAGTGAGGAACTCGTCACACCGTTTATTAGACTGTTCGAAAAATTGCATCTCTAGTATATTGTAGTCCTTTGGCTTATTGTAGGGCTTTCAAAAAAATGGCTATGATTTCTCCATAACTGGAGGAGGAATTGAAGTGGAGTTTAAAGTCATGTTCAGAATTGTCATGGGCGTTGAAGATTGCAATCCCTGTGAAGCTGCTGCCCGAAGATGCATCAGTGAACAGGATTTGGAAATTCGACACTCTAAAGTCCTGTATTAGGGTGGTATTATTACTTGCGGAGCGAATGGTTTGGCGAACGCAACTAAAAAATGCGTTAACAGGCCTATTCTGCATTGGTAACAAAAATTTTATTACCGGTAAATTTTTAAACCGTTTTCGAATTCTGCGCACTGGTAAATTTTGTTACCATCTCATAAGGAGGTAGCAAAATATTGCCCCGTGAAATATGCAACACCAGAAACAAGTTTTTCCAAGCACTCAAGCAGTATTGCCCATTGTACTTAAGGCCAACATACAGAATTTAGAGGAAAGGGATATGTTGGTGGGGGTGGGAATACATTGTTCCTCTGCAAACTTACCAGACACCTTTATGAAAGTTAACAGTTTTTAAGGTAAAGAGAATCAGATCCAAAAATGTACCATCTGAGTCTGGCGAAGGCCGAACGGCGGCTGAGAAAATGTTCTGCATTATCCTCGTCCTCCAAACACTATGTACACAGTGGATCTTCAATGATGCCTATGGTGACCAAATGTCGTCCCCATGGATTGTGCCCCATAATCAGTCCTATCCGGGCTAGTAGATCACTGCTTTGTCTGAGAAGAAATTTTGCTACCACCCTGTCAGGCCTTATCAGGAAATACTTGGTTATATTGCAGGTGTCAAACGTGCACCAACGCCTCATGAGTTTTGTTTACGAGATCTTTGATGCACCCGATCGTTTCCGCTATGCTTGACCCTAAAATTGGCTCTGGTCCAATTGGGCACTCTAGAGAACCGCAGTTCACCAAATCATCAGCCAGTTCGTTACCTTGAACACCGTAGTGTCCTGGTACCCACACAAGTTCTAGATTTTTCCATCTTGTAATGGAGTTCAGCCCCAACTTACATTCCTGGATTAACTTTAAAGAGGTGCGAGCGGTTTCCAGGGCCTTTAGAGCAGCTCGGCTGTTACTGCAGATCCTATTTTATGTATGACAAACTTCTGAACAACACTGACAACAAAAAATTGCAGTCGACACATTAGTTGCGTTCCAGATGCTTAACGATTTGCAGGTTTTTACAGGAAGTCGTTCCAGGTGACCACCTCCCATAAGGTTTATTAATGGGGAAAACAGCTGTTCCTGCAAATCGTGAATATCGTGAAGCATCTGGAACGCAACTATTGTTTTCATTGCCTCCTCTTGGATCGCTAAATCAACAGGCGGAAAATTCAACAGCGCATTAAGTGCCGGTCCTGATGTTGTACTCATGGCGCCCGTAATGTCTATACACACGCTTCTTTGTAGCCTGTTTAACACAGAAACCGAGGTCCTGACCGTGGTGCTACGCCACCATACTGCAGCAGAGTGCGTGACGATCGGCCTGACTCGAGCTATGTATATCCAAAATACCATAGCCGCTCTCAGACCCCAGGTCTTGCTAAGAGTTCTTCCACACTGTCCGTAAACTTTCAGCGCTCGATTTACCTTCAGCTCGACGTGAGTTTTCCATGTCAGTTTCGCATCTAGAGTTACCCCTAGATATTTTACATCCACGGTAAGACTTAGGTTTACGTCCCTAAGCAGCGGAAGGTTGAGACCTTCCAATTTTCTTTTCCGAATAAACAAGACTAGGGTTGTCTTGCTGGAATTGACAGCAATTGCGTTGTCAGACACACTTGTTGCTCCCAATGCTGGAAGTCCTTCCAAGTGGACCACCTTCATCTTGGTTATCGGTCTTCCAACCAACTGTCGGGCCCCAATTTATATTTTGGTCACTGTAAATCTGTATATACATACATACAAATTAGTTGTGCATGTGTACATACAATTATTTAATACTCACCACTGCAATTCCTTTTTGCGCGTAAGGACCTTAAAATATATAAAATATATTTCTACTTGATGAATTGGTTGGGTAGTTCGAACCCGTTTATTGTTCGATTAAATATTGTACATTTCATATTGTTTCATCTGTTCAAATACAAATTAGCAATTGCTTGGCAACTTATTGAACAGGGGGTCCGTTTCGAAATGTTTTGAAAAAAACATATATATATATATATATATATATGTATGTATATGTATCTACTATGTATGTATGATTTATGTGTAAGAATGCTTGTGTATATACTTCTCCTTATATACCTACATATAGTGCTAAAACACTGTGGCAACAACAATAGTCTGAGTTCATTATTTATATGTACATATATTTATATCTTTATGCATCTCAGTATATGTATGTATGTATGTACACATTTTTTCGAAAACATTCTAGTTTTTATATGTTTTTCTGATAAAATATATTTTTCAGATTTTTTTTTTGCTTTACTTAAAACTAATTTAACAACTTGCACTTCTAATTTCTAACTTATAAATATAAATATGTTCTTAATTTCTTTTTGCTAATCTATGTACATGCTTACTTTTATACAAAACTATACATAAAAATTGTTCATTAATACATCTTCCACAAAGCAAACTAAATGCTGGTAGGCAATTTGCCGTCGTCCATCCATCGTCGGATGAATTCAATAATTCAAGCTAACATATTAACACCTCTATTCTATAACCCGAATTTTCGTAATTCGTAGCTATGTACGTTACGAAAAACGACATTCCGACATGCTGCAACCCTTGCGGAAACCTGTGTAGCCATTGCCAGCTATCAGTTCCCTACAAGAACAGTGATAGCCATTTGATGGAGATCTCAATCAAGTACTTCTATCAACTTTTTAAGAGCAATATGAAAAACGTGATGTAAACATTTGTGTACATGTGATCGACCTTCCGTCTTCCCCCAACTTATGACCTCTTTTTAACCAACACAAAATTTGCAAATGTGTTAGCAAGATAAATGAGAATGTGTTAGTTTCGATCACAAAATTCCTATAGGGTTGTCTTTCAAAGACAGCTGTATGAAGGAAAACAACGTGGAAAGGAATTTAAAAAACACTCATCAAGTGCTTATTTATCCAAAGATTTTTTGATTTTACACATTTTGAAGGAAACGATGGATTCTATTTAATTTGCAATTATTGCAGCGGAGTAAGAGCGCGCTACGGAAATGAATTCACAAAGATATGCGGAGCTGTTGGGCATAGTAACCATGGACGCATCTACATATGTATGTCAACTTCTGGTTGAATTGTTGAACTCCAAGCCATAACTCCTCCTATGCCGGAAGAACTGATTCTCAATGCAGTTAATGCAATAACAACTTCCGAAAGTTCGAAAATACGATTCGGATTGCAGCATACGATTTCTACGATTCGTACCAAAATCCGAATACGTAAACGGTGCAGAATAGAGGTGCAAATATGTATCTAGTTAATGCATAAATATTTATTACCACTTGAGCTAATATTTTTGAGCTCAGATTTTGCTTAAGCGCTGCAATCATCAAACAACTAAAATGCGTTGTTAATTCATAAAAATGGGAAAAGATAAAACTTTAAAGCTTCTATGAAATAGTTTCAAATACTAAACATACATTCGATCATTGCACTGCTTAAACAAAATCAATCCGTTCCTATGGATTGATGCCGTCCAACTTCCCAGATGTGATGACGGAAACATCTGAGGTCTCTACAGGTGGCATGGCATCCCGATTCGCCTTTTGCCTGCGCAGATCTGGCTTAATTAGCGCCGTGATCAGCGTGCCCAGCACCAGCATAATTGACATGATCACATCGGCTGGTATATCTCCATAGGTGTAGAATACTTCGGAATACAGGGATGTGAATCCAATACCAAAAATTTGCGCGGCTGCGTTGAGCAGACCCGAGGAGGTTCCCTCCGGTTCCGGATATGTCAGTTCGGCGGCGAATTCAAAGCCTACTGGCAAATACCCCGTCATAAAGAAACTGTAAAAAATACAGAATTATGTGCATATGTATATGAATACATAAATTACATACTTTGAATCGGTATATTGTAATCTAAGTTGCTAATCTAAAAATAAATTAAATTTAGATTCATATAATGTAAAATACAGTTTGACCACATTTCGCCGTACACTAAAAATATTCTCCGTTTCAGGTTTGAAAATCACCTAAAAGTCCGAAATATTTTTTGTTTTTTTTTTTCAAAATAATTAGATATCGCAAACCAGTCTACCTCTTTAGAAAATTAACCTTTGTTCAATTATTATAGTCTGAAAATACAAAACATTAACAGCCTCCAGACTGTTCTTTTTTAATGCCATCAGACTACGGAACTCGCTACCAATATCTATTAAAACCATTAAATCAGACATACGTTTCAAAACGGCAATTAAAGCACAGTTCACTCCAAATCGGTACGCATGAAATGGATAACCCATTCTAACAGGTTTTCAGAAAATAATATCTATGGCTATGTATATAAGGTGACCAGAATTTTTTAACACTCAAGGAGGACAAACTCTCCACATTGAAAACACAACAAATTTTTTACATTTATTTTAAAACATAAATAACGAATAAATTTACAATTCAATGTTTCTCTAAACAAAAGTCAAACAAGTTTATAGTACACTGCGTTGCATAATTATAATACCGCCACATATTAACAAGTTTTGACTATTTATTTTTAACCGACTTCAAAAAGACTTCGTCGGAATATATTTTTTTATGTATCTTACCACATAACTTTCGACCACGTCCACCGATTTCGATAATTATGTTTCTATCGGAAAGGTGGTGTCTCACAGGTAGTCCCATACTAATTTGTTTTAGATCGGTTGTGTTTTTTACTTAAAAATTAGTTGTTAAATTATTCAATTGTAATTGTATTACTTGCAAAAGAAATTGTTTTCGTTCCTCGTCTTTCGTCAAAGTTCGATTACAATTTTATATCAGCAATATCATTAACATATTTAATTGTCCCTAAGACAACCAACTTCAGGGTAATTTTTTAGAGAATTTAATGCCCTACAAGAATATGCTTTGAAAAAACTTGTATAATTTTTTTTTAACGGTTCAAAAGTTATAACATGTTTAATGAAAACAAATTTTTTTACATTTTTACATAGAAAATTTCAAATGCCCATCGACAACTTTTAAAATTTAAACAAAAACTTTTCAAATGGGAGAGTTTCCTTCTCAGTCATTTTAAGGCCATAAGCTCGGCCAAACACTAACTTATGTGTAAGCGCCAATCTATTATTATTAAGGCCATTAATTCGCCAGGTTAGTTATTTCGGATCGCCCCAATATATAATAATAATAAGTAATAATAGATTGGCGCTTACACATATGTAAGTGTTTGGCCCAGCTTCTCCTCCGATTTGTGGCGTGCGCCTTGATGTTGTCACACAACGTGGAGGGACCTAAAGTTTTACGCTGACTCCGAACGGCGATTGTATTTTTATGAGAAGCTGTTTTACATGACAGAAATACACTAGGAGGTTCGCCATCGCCTGCCGAGGGGCGACCGCTGGTAAGAAAAAACATTTTTTCTAAATCTTTTCTGCGATATTGCTTTGACCAGGGTGCGGAGTGGACGCGCGCACTGCTTACCTCTACACCAAAGCGGCCGCTCGTTTAAGTGGCAAATTTTCCGGAAAACAGGCCCCAAAAAAATGTCTGGATCCGCCGCTGGACCTGTGTAATCGCAATCTAAATTATGTTTATTCATGTCAGAATATCACTTTGTCTTCATAATGTTCACTCTTTTTGTTTTCAAGAAAATTTACATACAAAAAAGAAAAACTTATCCATGCTTTTTTTCTAAAGACGGCATTTGTTGTAAAAAATTACCGTCCCTAATCAGTTTCCGTATTTGTGGACCGACAAAAATACCCGTTAAAAATATAATTTAATTTCATTTTAAATCATGCAAAAATAGGCTTGCTTCTTTAAATTTCGCGTAAGTTATTCGTGGAAACAATTTTTCAAGATATTTGAATGTCGGTCCATTTTTGTCGAGTGCAAATTGCTTTACTAAACCTAATTTAATATGCAGCGGTGGTAAAATAATGTCCGTTGGATTAACTAGAGGAATATTTATACTTTTCTTTTCACCAACTACAAATGAGGTACGTGGAACCCAATCTTTTTGAACGTAGTGCAGGCTAGTTGCTCGATTTTTCCATTCACAAAAATAGCATGGATATTTTATGTTACCACCCTGCCTGCCATTGAAAATTGTTAGTACTTTGAAATCTGCAATAATTAGCCACTTGTGAATTTTGTAATCTAGTTATGACAGTTAATATTTCAGCCATACTGTCATAAGATTTTTTGATATCAGTAGCGTAAACCAATGGGACTGATGGAAACAAGCCACTGTTGTGTAAAAGCACTGCCTCCAAACCTTAAAAATAAAAGATTAGAATATGTAGGTACATATGCAATAACGTAATAAACGTTTTAATTTTACTTTTTCTTGAACCATCGATGCATAGACGCCAATCATATGGGATATGGTTATATCCAAATTTGTCAAACAATGCATTGACATCATTGCAATAAACCAAATTACATGCATACTATTTTTAGTGCTTTCACTGAATAGTGATCCAAAAGCAGAAGTTTCCTCAGTTCTACGAAATATATCTAATATTGAAATTTTTTTGCAAAAATTTCCATTGTTTCATTCTTGAACCCAAAATTTCTTTCTGTCTTTTGGACAATTCTAAATCGCGTATAAGATCTTTAAATTCTGCTTGTACTCTTTGCACCGGTTTCAAGTGCCTTTGAATCATCTATGTCAGAGGTGCTCAACAAACTTAAGTTACTGAGCCAAACGACAACAACGTCAATATCAATTACAACAACATCGTTCTGGGAATTGCAAAAAATTTGTCAACCCCAAACTCACAAATTAATGCTACAAGCATACAGCTGAGCAAATGCAAGCCATCTCGAGGCAGTAGTGAGTGAATGTCGATTGATTTTTGTCCCGTTATAGGGAATTTACATGATTGAAACTTTCACAGGCGATTAGTTGAATCAAAAGTTGAACGAAAGTAGGCAGCCGACCAACTTCATTGAAAGCGATTAGTTGAAAGGCCGTTTACACCAGGCGATTGTTGCGTTCAACTAAAAATCGCCTGAAAAATCGCCTCATGTAAATTCGGTATTAGCTTTTCCTGATTCAACGCATGTTTCGTTTGTTTTGCTCTGATCTATAATATAGATTCTATATCGCCTTCTGAATCTCCAGCATCAGAATATATTCGACCTTTTTTGAATAATTTACGTTTTTTACTTAAAAGACCAATACTTAGCCTTTCTCCAGACGATTTTCAAATTTTTTTCTTTGTTAGAAAGGTAAAACTGGTATCTTTCAAACAGAGAAGAAAATCTTTAATTCGACGAAAAAACAGCAAAGTTATTACTTCTTGAAGTTGTAACTTAAAGAATACCAAAGTTTTATTATATTTGTTAGTAAAAAAGTAGTAAACGAAGTGACGGAGAAAAACTATAACTGTAGTCGTATCCTATGGGCTATAAAAAAGCATATTTTTTTGTGTAGCACAGTGTATCAGATCACAATTTCCGTTTCTGATTTCAATCGTAGTTTTCTTAACTTCATTTACTCATATATGTATATACATAGTATATGTATATGTATGTATGTATGTACAATAGGTGGTCCAAAAATGCATGTGAAAAAGAAAAGTCGGATTTTTTTTGCTTTCAACCCCTAGCATTCTTCTAGCGAAAAAATACACCCCTATTTTTTTATTTTGAAATCGAAAAATATTTAGAGGTCGCCCAAAGCGCTCAAAATTTTCCATATACATATTTTATATGGGAAAAAACCACTTTTCGTGGAAATGGTATAGATTTCTTAAAAATTAATATTTATCGATCGGATTTCAAAATAAAAAATATGCGTATATTTTTTTCGTTATAGAACAACCCGAGGGGGTGAGAGCATTAAAATTCCGACTTTACTCTTTTGGATCCCCCTAATGTACAATCTATATACATATATATGTGATTGTCATCCTTACCCTAAAAGTGCAGCTGTCACGTAGACCACGGCAATATGTCCTGTATCCAATGTAAATGTAAATATCCACATACCGACCATTGAGAAGGCGTAAACCGCTAACGTAGTTTCTCTAAAAATTCAATAATAAAAATATTGTATATAAATTAAATAATGTATATAAAGTAAATTTAAAAAAAATATCCTTTTTTCAAACGAATTATTGTCTAATAATTTTGGTAACCATTTACGGAATAACAGCTTAAGTCGAAGATTTAGTATAATACCATTCCCTTTATTACCCAAACTAATGGGAATTTTTTGAAGATGCAGTTATGGGAGTATGTATTAGGGGAGAGCTGCTTGCATCAAAATTATCTCTGTAACATTTATGTACGTATTTGTCAACAATACATATTTAAATGGCTCCCGTGTACATGTGACTTTAACTGTTATTCCGTAAACATTTGGAACAAGGTTATCTTAATTTTGAACGCTGTACTTGTTTACCCACGTTTTTCCAATGATGGATTTTTAGTGAAAATGAATATTTACGATATTACGGGTGAGGTTTTTTGTATATAATAAACCAAACGGAATTCATTGGAATTAATTTGAAGAAATACTTATTTTAATATTCGATTGCACTTACTTGAATTTGCGCATTTGGTCTAGCACAATGCCACAGACGACGGAGCCGATCATGCCTGCCAGTACAATAGACAATCCAATGCGACCTGTGTCAACCTCATGGCCTGGATAATATTTGAGCACCACCTGAGAAGAGAAGTAATTTTAATAAACAATACAAGGGTTAAGGCAGTGTGGCACGAATTGGTGCAAATCGTATCCCAATCGTGTGAATACAAAAATATTTTTTTTTATCCTAATCACAAAAAACAATAAGGGTGGGTACTCATCCATCCGCACAAGTTTCATATTTGGGCAATTGGGCAACTTTGCGCAATGCCTTCAATGAGGACAATTTTATATTCTGTGGAATTTCAGACTTATAATTATTTGAAAAGTTGAACGATTGAAACTCGAATTTAAGAATTAATATTTAAGTCTTACGAAAAAGCGTTGAGAACAAATCAAAATGAAAGTAAACAAAATAGTTGATTGAGGGTTGCACATCACACTGCGCACATTTGCGCGACAAAATTTCCGCGCAAACTTGCCCTTTTCGTGCAAATAGTTTTCCATACAAATTTTGACATTTCATTTGCGAGGGTTTTAAATTGTTCAGTTTTAAGAAAAATTCAGTACAGAATTAAGAAAAATTCCACAAATTCGAGCTTTTTAACCAGAACTTTTATAACATTTTTGGGTATGCAGTTAACAGCCTTACAAAATTTTAGTAAAACAAGTGCAAGTTTTGAGCGGCTATAAAAGGGCATTGATTTTTAAAATTTTTTTTTTTGCTGACGGCTTTTGCGGGTTTTTCCATATAAAAAGTGAAATTAATAAAAAGTAGCGTTGATTATTTTCAATTTTTTTCGAAAACGGTCTTACGTATTTTCTTCCATAAGAAATTCACGAGTATACAGAAAAAAGTGCAAAACGCCGCAAAAAAATATTAAAGTTCAATGCGATTTTTTAGCTGTTCAAAACTTACACTTATTTTTATTGAGTTTCTTAATAATTGTAACTGCATACCCAAAAATTTTATATAAATTCGGATAAAAAAGCTAAAAATGTTGATGAAAGTTTGTTGAGTTCTTCTGAATTCTGTACATAGTTGGAAAGTTTTATTTATATGATTTGAGTTAAAGCGTGAATCATATTTCTATAAAAAGAAACCAAAAAAATGTTAGCTTGTAAATATTAAAAACAAAACACCATTCATCCACTTTTGACCGCCACTGTATGTGTGTAATTATTTTTAATCTCACCGGATTGAGCAAAGTGGATATTGCATAGAATACGCCAACATTCATTCCATACGAAATTAGAAGCAGTACGTAGTTGCGATTCAGCACCAAACTCTTCAATGATTGCATAAATGGTGCCTGAGCAGCTGCTTCATCCGAAGATGTGGCCGAACGCTTTGGGTTTGGCGGTGTAGGTGGTTTATCCTTAAAAACTAAAGAATTAAATAAAAATGAAATTCCAAACAAAAACGAAGTCTCGGAGAGGGAAAACGATATGGACTGTTATTATTAATAATAATAATTTATTATATTGCAATATGTATGCATATGAACATATGCATGAATGAATATCTGTATTTATGTATTAGTACTTAGGGCCAATTTCACAATGCGTAGTTAACTCGGAATCGGGAGTTAACTACAGATTTTTGTACTGTCGATTCGGAGTTAACTACGGACTGTGAAATTGGCCCTTAGAGAGTAAAAAGTGTCTTACAAAGTATCATCAGCACCATTAAAACGGTCGTAAAGCCTGCAAAGCAGTAAAACATAAAAAGCAAATCGCTGCCAATTTTATCCAGATCATCGGAGTTTTCCACTAAAATTGGAGGCAGCACGAAACCAACTGCTATGCCGAGCTGAAAAAGACCAAGCATAAAAATACATACATACAGTTAGTGAAAAATTGTGTTCACGTTTAATAATAAAGAGAATTACGTTGGAACAATTCATATAGTTGCAAAGGCACACATCTTGGCCATTTTTGGGGAGTTTAATTATGTATTTATTAGACTGAATATATTATATGAGCCATTCTTTTTTAAGTCGGACGGATTTCGTAAAAAAAAATATGTCATGTCTCCGTTTCGCTTCAATTTCTTTGGGTTGCATATGTTACCGGCCAAACCCGATATTAGGACAAACTAGTTTTGCCTAGGCTAAACTGGATCAGGGGCCACAGTAATTTTGCGTAGAACACCTTTTCGCGTAGGCGGCCTTCGGCAGCACTTCAAAAAAATTACCCTCATCAGTCCAACTCCAGGTACGCGGTCCACAATATTATTGCGTCCAACTTCTTTCCGCATTGGACGGATATATTGGATCAAGGTAGAACTAGCTAGCCGAGGAAAAACTAGTTTGTCCTAAGATCGGGTTTGGCCGGTAACATATACATGAAATGAGCTAACACGTGTTCGAGCAATGTTTTTCTTCACGGTCAAAAATTTGGGTTTAATTTTTAAACCGCGCTGGGACTACTGCCTTTTTTAAACTTTTATAGTCTACTTTTTAAACCAGTCAATAGTTTTACGCAATTTTTAATATATTCTGGCTTAAATTTTAGCCCAAAAAGTTCGTGGTTTAAAAATCAAACCAAAATGTTTTAATTCTAGTTTCTAGGTTTCATATATAGAAAATTTGGTTTAAAATCTAAACCGAAATAGAATATGTTTGCACAGCGAATTGTGGTGTTGATTCAAACTCAACATATGAAAGCACATTTACATGCGTGGCTGTAGCTGAGTGTGCAAAGATGCTTGATACAATTGGTTGCTACCAAGGCTGTCCGGGTTCAATCCCAACCAGACGGAGCATGAAATTTAAAATTTTTTTTTTTTATTCTTAATTATGAAAATGTTTGGGTTTAACATTTAAACCGAATTGTTTAAATTCTAAACCCAACATATGTGCTCTCTTTTTTTTAAACTTGGAAGGTTTGTATTTGAAACTGAATTTAGTTTGGTCATATATGTAGTCCAAAAAGTTTAAAATTAAAACCAAAATTTTTAACCGTGTTCTTTTTCTTCTTCGGAGATATGATCTGTCAAAGTTTGCATTTTTTTCGTGACTCTGAGTAATCATGTACTTCTTCAAATCGATCGTAGAGACTTCATCCTAACATAATTTTAAAGCTAAGAAACGGGCTTAACATTTCTATATATAAGATGTTCAAGATTGCCCTAAAGCTAACTTAGCTGTTAATAGTTGAACTTTTTGAAGTTGATTTGCATAGTGAAGACCATCGTAATCCTTGTTTAATTCTCTATAAAAATGGTGGTCCAAAAAAATTGGCGTTTTTCAAGAGCTATTTTTAAAATATTTTTCTTTATGACGAGATGGTTTATTTTGTGAGAACCAACAATTTTTTATAAATTTTTTTTTCGAAAACTTATGTTAAGATATGTATATTTGGTAGAGTCCGACCGATTAATCGGCATCGGCATCGGCTAGTATCGGCACAAAATTGAGCATCGGTGAAGTGACAGACAACATCAAAAAATATTTGCAGACAGCTCACAAAAATGATTTTTTTGAGTTTGATTAAAAAGTTTGAAATTTTGGTGAAAATAAGCAGAATTTTTCAAATTTTTGTACAAAGTCTGAAATCTGAATTTATATGGTGTTTGTTGTATATCAGCTTGACTTTTATAAAAAAAATAAAAAAAAACATTAAATAAACAAAAGGCAAATGCCAAAACCGGTCAAAATATCGCAAGTCTTTTATTTTGTGGACAACTACATATATGTATGTATATATATGCCTAGCATATAAGTTCTAATGCATTGAGTACAAAAAGGGTGTATTTCAGTACAAAACGAAATTAAATTTTATGGTCCTAAATATTTCTTGCTTAGCACCATATAAAAAAGTGTTTTATGTAATTTACATAAATGTGATATATGCACATATACTTTTATGTATATGTACATACATGTGTATGTAATGTTGCAAATCCTCAAATCGAAAAACTTATAATTTGACCGACGTGCTGGTAGACGCATTTTTAAGTATTTTGTTTTGGAGTAGATAGGGGTCATTGTCTTCATATGGCTTATGACCACCTTTTGACAGTTCAGCCTAAAAGTGTTGATGCCGAAATATGTTTTTCATCAGTAGGTTTTGTAAGTAAAAACTGCAGGTCAAACTTAGAAGACTCCGCTTTGAATGCTTTGCTGCTCTTACGAAAACATTTTAAGTGTAATAATAACAACACCGGCAAAAAAAGGGGTGTGTGTTTTTAACCAGACCCAACTACCAACATCTCTAAATTTCTAGTAAATTGCGAAAAAAATGGCAAAAAATTCTCCATTCGCCAATTCTTTATAGAGTAGAATAAACATGTTTAGAGAAATTGTTTTTGTATATTTTTGTTTTATGTTTTTTTATTAATCGTTACTTNTTACATAAATGTGATATATGCACATATACTTTTATGTATATGTACATACATGTGTATGTAATGTTGCAAATCCTCAAATCGAAAAACTTATAATTTGACCGACGTGCTGGTAGACGCATTTTTAAGTATTTTGTTTTGGAGTAGATAGGGGTCATTGTCTTCATATGGCTTATGACCACCTTTTGACAGTTCAGCCTAAAAGTGTTGATGCCGAAATATGTTTTTCATCAGTAGGTTTTGTAAGTAAAAACTGCAGGTCAAACTTAGAAGACTCCGCTTTGAATGCTTTGCTGCTCTTACGAAAACATTTTAAGTGTAATAATAACAACACCGGCAAAAAAAGGGGTGTGTGTTTTTAACCAGACCCAACTACCAACATCTCTAAATTTCTAGTAAATTGCGAAAAAAATGGCAAAAAATTCTCCATTCGCCAATTCTTTATAGAGTAGAATAAACATGTTTAGAGAAATTGTTTTTGTATATTTTTGTTTTATGTTTTTTTATTAATCGTTACTTTCAAAAGTACCTGGTATTTAAATTATTATTTGTGATGTATACGGTCCTCAATCACATGGTTTTTTAAATACAATTAAAAAAATGTTTTACTTTAAGGTTTGTCTGATTGAATAAATAAATATCGCAAGCGTAGAGTGCAAAGTTGCTAAGTCCCAATGTAAAAATTCTACAGGAGAGGAAAAAACTTCGTATAGCCATTTTCTTCAAGTATTTCGCAAAACTTTGAACACAACATTTTGCCTGTTTAAAGCAAAGCAAAACTCCATACGAATCGGAGGGATTCGATCTTTATTAAAAGATTTCGAACTTTTTTGGCCTTATCGAATTTTCGGAGCNAGGGATTCGATCTTTTTTAAAAGATTTCGAACTTTTTTGGCGTTATCGAATTTTCGGAGCCTTTTTGGCCTTAGCAAATTTTCCTTTCATTGAATATAAACGAGAAAACATAAATCAAGGACTTTTACCCTTTTCGAAACGATGCAATTTTAATTTATCTAGCCTCCTATATCNTTTTTGGCGTTATCGAATTTTCGGAGCCTTTTTGGCCTTAGCAAATTTTCCTTTCATTGAATATAAACGAGAAAACATAAATCAAGGACTTTTACCCTTTTCGAAACGATGCAATTTTAATTTATCTAGCCTCCTATATCAAAATATGATTTTTTATTAGAAGCTAAATTAGCAACTTTTCACTCTAAGCTAGCGATATATGAGTTTTACAATCAGTTTATCGTAAGTTTTAAATAGTTTTATTTAATGGTACATATGTTTAAATGCTTTCAGATATTGAATTTTTACTCATATTCATAAAATATATGACTCAATTTGAATCTCGGGATAAATCCCGGGATTACCTAAAACATATCCCGAAATCCCGGGATCCCAATTTTCCTGATATTTTGGCATCCCTAATACATTCGTACATAAGAATTAGGGTAACTGAAATGGTAAGAAAATTTATTTAAATGTTTCGATAAGAATCGAAATATATCCAGTCAAGAAAACTTTAGTTATCGAAAATGATCAAGTTATGCAAATTTATCGAGTCATCGAATTTTATAGTTATGGAGTTATCATAATGTATCGAGTCCTTTCAACTTATCGAGCTATAGATATTTATTATTTTCAAAGCATATCGAGTTATCTAAATTAAAAAATAAAATAAGTTTATAGAGTTATCACTATTTATCCAATTTTATCGGAATACAAAAATTATCGAGTTATCGAAATTTATTGTTATAAAATTTTATCGCGTTATCGAAATGTATTGGGTTACCGAGTGATGAAAACGCAGACTTATCGATAGTTATCGAAATATTTTGAGTTATCGATTTTAATAAAGTTATCGGAATTTAGTGCTTTTGATGTTTATCGAGTTTGCGAGGTCAATGAGTGCGCGCTTTAATTATCGAAATTTATCGATAGATATCGGAGTTAGTCGAGTCATTGATTTTCATCAAGCTTTCGGAATTTAGTCTTTTCGAACTTAGTGTTATCAGTGTTATGTAGTTTCTCAAATAATATACGTAATTGAAGAAATCTTTGTGAATATTGGGAGAACATTCTTTCTGATGACATTTTGCATTCTGTTATATTGGCCCCAAAAAAAGATGATTGCTCTTTTATCAATGCAGACATTTTGGAGCGTATGGCGAGATAAGAAAAGTCATACACTGGGGGAAAAAAATTTTAGAATTAAAAAAAAACTTGCTAAATTTCAAAAAAATATGCATATGCAGAGCACCAAACCCAACTCGTATTAAATTTGAGTATACACGTTATAATATACATATGTATGTATGTCGTTGTGCACTTCGCAGATGCTTTTTCGTAATTAAGAAGGAAACAAATTTTAATTTCATGTTCCATCTGATGGTAATTGAACCCGGACACTATTGGCAGCAACCAATTGTATCAAGCTTATTTGCGCACTCAGCTACAGCCAAACATGTAATAGTGTTTTCAAATGTGAGTTTGAATCAATATCACAGCGCGCGATTAGAGCTTTTGTACAGGCAAACTTGTACCATGCATGGGTGTATGTATTGTCACCGCTGCGTATGCTTTGTATACATATACTTTCTTAATTACGTATGAAAAAGCATCCGAGACGTGCGAGTGAAAAATGCTTCATTTTAATACCGGCGTATTTGAATTGAATATTTCCATTATACATACACTACTTTTGAACACATTTCACTTGATTTAAATACGAAAATTTTTAAACGGTAATCAAATAAAAAAAATTAGTTTTTACTACGCGTTCTTTTCCTCAGTGTACTTTAATGTTGATAAAATTATTTGTGATAATATTCGGGATCATAACAATTACCTATTGAATTTTTAAACTTTTTAACTGTAAACCTCCACATAAAGTCGTACTCATAAAGAGCTGTATTGTAATGCTTACATATAAGCAATTTAACACAAAGAATACTTTGAAAAAAATGCATAAAAACCCTTTAGGTTGTGAAGTTTTAACTTCAATTTCATGTGGCTTGCGAATCTTAATCCCTCGCATTCATTTGTCCTATTCTGGCATTCTTTTACCCTCTTCGTCGCAGGTATACAGTTTCCAACCATTCCCGTTTTTTGTATGACTATAAATAAATCTCAGGAGCAAATATTTCAAAAGGTTGGTTTATTATTACGAGCCCCTGCATTTTCTTATGCAAAATGATATGTTGCTGCCAGCAGAGTTCGTTCCTTTAACGGATTGCGGTTCCACATTTCAGATACTTCAGATCAACGTCATTTGTCTGCCGACAAAACTCTTAAACAGCTCTTAAATATTCATAAAAAAGTCGAATTTCGACAGTAACTAGCACTCCTAGTGTACTTTGAATTTACTAAATAGCAATATAGAAGTATTACATATATCACAGCATAAAAAAATAACAACACTTCAAGTCATCTGAAGTATGTTGAGTAATCGGTTTTTATTGACATCTTTAATATCTAAAAACTAGTGTTGCGATGTATCGAGTACTTTTGAGGATCGGGTTCTTTGGTATCGATACTTTTAAGGATCGGGTATTTTTGAGAGTACTGAGTATTTCTTTATATGTGCACATGTTGGTAACATTTCAATGCTTAGTGTTCCCAGGCTGGCATCACTTTAACCAAATTAGTATTGTACTTGAAAACAATTGAAACTTCAAATTGAGTACAATCATTTCTGAAAACCGGCAAATGTAAATAATGTAATGTAATAAATTTATCTATTCGACACTTAATACAGAGTACATTGAATCGATCCTGAGAACAGAGTATTTTTGAGTACTGAGTGCTTTCGAGTTATTTTTTGAGTACTGAGTTCTTTGGAATACTCAGTGTCGATACTTTTAAAAATCTTTTGGTAAAAAGTATTTTTGGTATCGATACTGCCCAACACTACTAAAAACGCATAATCAAGACCTCTGCTCAACTGCCAGCCCTCCGGATCTCGATTTATATATTAAGAAGCTAAACTAGTAGGTTTTTAATCATGCGTTCTCCGCCTAACATATTTATGAGTGTTTATTTAATTGTTCATTTGGAACATACATTTTAAGCCATTGGCTGTCCTCAATTAAAAATAACTAATTTCCATCCTAGTGAAAAATTGCTATAAATGCAAATTCTGACCATAAAAGCGCTGATGTGCATAGTTTTTATATACATACATACATATGTATGTACATATGAAGTTATGTAACTGCATATGTATACACATATATATATATATATTTATATATACATATATGTACATACATATCTATGTACTCGTATATTAATGTTTATATGTACGTATGTATGTATGTATGGCATGGGCACAACAGTTGCATCAAACTTTGATCTGTGGAAATTTTGTTAAAAAATAGTTACCACGTTTCCAAGAGAGACAAACAACCGGCTGTAGCATTGAAAAAGGAGCAAGGTCATATTTATTAAGAGGTTTGTTGCTGGTTGAACTGAACTGCTGTTGACATTTGTGTTTTTCCCATTCAAGTGGGGGCACAAGGAAACCAACTACATACATATGTATGTATGTATGCATGGCAGTGTGGACTTTATAAAAAGAGGCACATATACACATGAGATTAATGCATATTTGCATTCTTGTGCATATTTGAGTATGTATGTATTTACATACATATGTATATGAGTACGTGAGCACATACATATGTACGTACGTGAATAGATGTAGAAGAATGGACTTGTCGGCGGGAGAGATGATTAATTTTTACAAACACTTTAGTTGTCTTAGAAGGACATTGGATAAAAAATATTCACGTGTACAAACAGATATGTGTGTATGAGTATTTTTGTAGGACCAGGTGGTCTACTGGGACGTAGTTTTAAAGTATGTGCAAAACGACCAGGTTGCATACTAGTAACTTGTTATGCTGACCTGGACCACTTCAAACGTAATAAACTGATATAAATATGCAGAAGAAAATGCCTTTTAAATAATAGATTTTGCTATTTAAATTTAAAAAGCACCTTTAAAAATGATCAAATATTTGGTTTATAAAAAACCTTATGAAATTCAATCCATGGTCCAAAAGGAGTAGTAGTCTCTAGGTGATCCCATGTTTTGCAGCGTTGGACCAGAGGTGGTCAGGTCCAATGACATCGCAATGTTAATGTAACCATATCTTCTATGTAAATATTAATTATGATAACATTGTAACAAAGGGATTCAAAATTAACTTATGTGTGGACCTTATTAGTAAAATTTATAATATCCTCAGAAAGCTACATTACTCGAACATATGTATAATGCTTAGCTATTACCACTGCTTTTGTGAAGCGATGAAAAATGTTTTCACTTCACGTTTTCATAGAACCAAATCTGGCCCCCAGGCTTAGTACATTATCACACATTGTGAATAAGCAGAATTTAAATCTTTGTGGTGTTTTTTGGGACTTTCGATAAAATTTGTTTGATTTTTGTGCAGATATTTGCGGGTTTTTAATTTTTTTTTTGAGTTTTATTTTTTGACGAACATCCCAGCCATAAGGGAATTCAGAATTGCAATGGATGGCGAACATTCCATGTAAAACTTTTAAGGGCGCTATTCACAATGCAGTTGAGAGAAATACATTTAGCGGATTCTTTTGTCAGTGTACATAGTTAACCATTGAAAGGGTTGAACTTTCAATTTTCATATTCACAGTAAGTAGGTACTCAGTTAACAAAAGTTTAAACGTGAACTATACTTAAATTCTTATTTGATTAAATTTTTTTGTAAGCGACAGTAACAATTATACTCGTATACATAGACACAATTATATGAATTTTCAATTTTCTTTTTAGTGGTTAAGTTAACAATAGTTTTAGTCCTAGTTCGGCCCTAAACAAACGAAATCTTAAAACACTTTGCATAGGCGCTTTGGGCTCTTTAAAAAGGAGAGTATAAGCCAAATAGCAAATGTATCTCAAAATATTAGCCAATCTATTTTTTTGTGAATTTACTTACCTGGTTGCCAAATACACCTACACTACAAGCCGAAGACACCTGGTGAGGTCCAAACCAAACTGCAGCGATTCGCGCCGGCAAGGATAAAATACAGACCTGTGACAGAACAAAGAAGAGTAAATATAAAAAAAAAATTGCATGTACGCATATTAAACATTTTTTATTTACCGAATGATTATGAGCCTTATTATCTATCTCGAACGATAGCCCGCACGAACGATTCGTCAGCAAAAGAATCTTACAAAAAAAAAATAAATAGCCTGGTATCATCATTCTAGCTGGTTTAAACGTAGCCAAGATGATTACGACGATGTAATCGACGTAAATCAAGACGATGACGAATGATAAAGTTATAAAATTGCCAGCAGACTCGATATCGTTTGCAGACGACTCGTTCATGCGGCCTATGGTTCGAGATAGATAGCAAGATTGTAAAAATAACTGGATACAAATTTAAATTTTTTAGTTGAGAATTTCCTTAATAAGCGGTTAGATCAGCCGCTAGTATAAGAAATTGAACCTAGTCAAAGCAAAACTCGAATTTCGCTCGGCGTCGTTTTGTCACTAAAGATTTATTTCATGACTGGGCGGTGGCGACAGTAAATGCCAGGGTGTGTCGTACTTTTTAGTGTTTTCAAAGTTTTGGGATGAAAAGAAAATATGACATTTAAAAAGGGATAATTATTGTTTCGTTAAGCCTGGGTTAGGATAAAATAACGTAATGTACAAGTACTTATCTTTTTTAATAATAATATTCTAAATATGGGTTCTTTGAAATATGGTCACTCAAATTATAAATGCGCTGTAATTGTGTTAAAATAGGCGAAATAATACGACGATCGGATCGTACTTCTTTGAATATTATACCGGTAGCGCTGTTACACGGTGAGCCAACTCTTTATGCTCTGAATTGGATAACATGGTTTTGGATAATATGTAGTTTTAACAGGACGGTGCTACTTGCCACATAGCGCATGGAATAATGGACTTATTGCGAACGAAGTTCCAAGGACGCATTATCTTACGATACAACAAGGTGAAAAGGCCGCGGAGATCTTGCGATTTGACACCATTGGGCATCTTGCTTTCGAGCTACTAGAAAAGTATGGCTATGACAATAAGCCTGAGACGATTCCAGAGCTGGGAAACGAAATCACACTGCTATAAATGTTATACTGCATTTACGGGGATTTTTTTTTAAGATAATCTTTTTCAAGAAACAAGTATACTTGGAGATTTGCCATGGCTGCTAAGGGGTGACTGCTGTTGAAAAATGTTTTTCTATCATCTTTGGATGGTAAATAAGTTAAGCTGCTGTTTAGTTTAGAAAGCTGTGATAAAATACGTTTGGAAAATATTGATTAATAAATGGGCTTACTTCAATCTCTATGGGTACCCAATATCAAACACATTTCCTATTTTTTATGTATGTATGCAGTAAAAACAATACATTAAGAGCGAACAATTTTTTTTTTGGCTTTTTTATCGTTTGGCTAGGACGAAAATTTTATATGAAGTCAACATTCTCCGGAAAAATACTTTTTTCATTTGTATGGGGATCGACCCCTTCCATAGCTCATATGCACATCTACATTTATAGCACTTTGCCATCACTTAATAATGGTTGCAGTTCGCTGAAAACCATAAGCTATAGCTATAGATTATTTATTACCCTTGCGCTCAAAACTACATCGCGATTTGTTGCTTGCTAAAGTGCCTAATGATGAGGAGGCTTAAAATAGGTAGCACCAGCACATATACATATATACGTACATATAAATACATGTGTGGGCATATATATGGACACATATATAAGTATGTATGTACATATGTATGTATACCCAGTCAGAATAGGAATCTAGAATGCATCAATTTACTTACGGCAATGCATTAGGAAAATTATGTGTTCCTTTAAACCGGCGATGGGCACTGCCTTGCCCGCGGGCAAAGCTCTCTTAACCTTTCTATATATTTTGTATAGGCGCGTTCGGAGTATAAGCTCTCTCTGCCCATCGCTGCTTTAACACACACCAAATTAATGCAGATAAAGCTTTAAAATAACTGTAAATGGTATCACAAATATGGCTCTTTCTTGCGTTTGCGTTGTATTTATGATATGCTTGCTATTCTATAGATATACAAATTTCCTATTGGGCATTTATATATATATATGTGTATGTGTGTATGTATGTTCACATTAGCCCAACGTCTGTGCTCACATCACTTAGGATGTGAAATCAAAAGTGAAGCATCACTGCACACCATTTCACCGGCTGCAGAATACGTGTGTACACACCTGGGACAATGCCACAATGGTTTGACCAATAAATGTGACATAAAAGAGATCCGGTTGCACGGAGAATACTTTGATCCATGAACCAATGCATGTGCCCACAACGCCCACGAGCGCTGTTATGCGAAGACCCTGAAAATATAAAAAAGAAATGCAGTATGAATGAAACTTTGAACTACATACATACATACATACATACATACATATGTACATACCTATATACGTATGCATATACATATTTATTTGCACTGAATGAGAATTTTGTTTAAAAAAAAAAAACGGATGAAATTATTAAATTAATTAATAATACAGGCCTGCGATGGTTTCATCCTTAAAAAAATTCCATCACGCAAACCTTCTTCAAAACTTCAAAATATTTTCAAACTTTAACCTTCTTAAACATATTTCCTTATCTTAGGTATGCAGGATGAAACATTTAGTTAGTATGGGAGGTGCCACGCCCCCTTGTCTAATCGAGATAAGGGCTACGCTATATTTTAAGTTGGGATAAATCACACCATTGTACAAAATTTCATAATGATCGCTGGAGTATTTAAAGCTCACTTTCGAATTTATAATATTAGTAAGGACTAGTAAAGAACAGCAAAAATAATATGGTGACCCTTTTTTCGTCAATGAGCCTTTTCGCGACTTTCTGAAAATTCTCAACGGCAACACTGGTGGTGATATATTTTTTCCAGAAACGCGGCAAGTAAAGCTGTGTATATCATTAACAAAAAATATATACACAAAACGCGATTTCTACGTTAGAATGCCACGGGGTTTAAGTGAAGCTGATGCTGAAAATGCTGTTATTGCTGCCAGTGCGAAAAGCCATTGAAATTCGGTTTGTAATTTCTTAAAAAACCCGGATAGTTATGGCACAATTAAACGCTGTCGTAGGCGGCCTTCCGCCTTTTTTTTTTAGTTTAAACATATCAAGAAGAAGAGTCCTTTAAGTTTGGCGGAAAATGTCGCGGCTTTTTTTGATCGGATGCTTATCAAAAATTTATTTTTTTTCTGACGGAAAAAAATTATTTGCACGGTCTAATGGCTGGCAGGCTAAGCTCAAAGAAAGTGGGGAATATTATGTGACGGGCACGTTTTATAACAGCTGAACACAGCCATACACATCCTCTCCTTCTGTATATTGATGTGCCATGTTCTTTGAGATTAGGAAAAAATTCTGACGTGATGGAGCAAAACGGACTTCAGTTTCGTGTTCAGGGCACCAAAATGCATGGGGTAGGGTATTCATGTCAAAAGTACATGGAACTTTTTTTTTTTTTGGGAGCAGTATAGTTGTCTTTATTATCTAAATGTGCGATATGTGCATTTATACATATGTATGTATGTATGTACATTCATACAGACGTGATTGTTTCGACAATATATACGGAAAATTAATGTATCTATACTTAGTTATCGAATTTTTTGAATTTTATTTCCCTGCTTAAATTTGTAGAATGAACTCTCACCATCTTATCAAGAAACCAACTGCCAGGGAAAATTAGTGGTATATAGACAATCATATATACCATTGACGTCCAATCCACCCACTTGTCATTAATACCGTAATATCTGAAATTAACAGAAAATATGCATACTTTAAACAAACAAATTTTAAAATAGTAATTAAATAAAAATTCGATAATTCGAACATAAGATTGTCGACACAATTTGGAATATCATTGGTAAAGTTTGGATTAAATGATTTATGTACATATCAAACTATACCAGGCATGGCTATTAAATAACGAGAATTGTACTGCCATAGAAGAAGTACGCATGCGTCAAGCACGCACCAGTGACCGACAGCTGTTTAGATTGAATCATTCTCTTTAAGACCCATCTACATAGAACTTTCGCATTATTTACGTTCGCTTTCGCTAAGATAAATTAATATTTCACATCACTAATTGCATTAAAAGCGATATTCCTGAGTCGCATTTGATTAAAAAGGAAAAAAAAACATTTCACGTAATTTTCATGATTTGCAATAGCTGATGAACGACGCACGCGAAAGGTTGAGAGTTGGTCATCTTTCTGCTTTGTGTCGGCGTTAGCGTTGCCAAATTTTGGCCGCATTTGAATTCATGCCAGCTGTTGAAGCAACGCCAACGCCAACGCAACGCAAAAGTTGTATGTGACGGGCCTTTAGTATGCAGAGCTTCTTAAGCTGAAGGTATATATGTATGTACATATGTATATCGTTAGTATAGTATGGTATATATATATATGTATATATTCAATATGACCTATCTGCGATTTTCAGAAAAGTGAGATTCCTATATAAAAATCCACCTAATACATATTTATTAAAAATTAAAAATTGCATTCAAATTGCTTTTATTCCCCTTCTGGACTCGGAATTATTTTGTGGTTCTCCTTCTGCATTTGGAATTCTTCAGTGGCATTTTTGATGGACTCTAATGTTTTTGTAACTTTTAATAATAAGGTAGTTTCAATAAACAACTTTTTGACGGATACTGGGATTTTTGAAGCTTCATAATTTGTGCATGTTGCTATCATGGGGCTGTCATAATCCTGAACCCATCGACCAGGACACTTATTCCCTCGAATACAGTTTCTTCGGTTCTGGCGTTGCATTATTTTGAAGTATTTTTTGATATTAGAAGCAATGTGGTTTTGTGGCACAATCCGTAGAGCTGAATGATTGATGATGATGAAACACTCAAGTTCTGAATCATAAAAGAAAAGAAAGAGAAATTTCGTGACGGTGACGTAACTTGGAAATTTGTTTGGCGCTTTTAACGCTTTTTAACAAATTTCCACCAATATATCCTACAATGCGCTTCATGATAATTTTTGCCATTTTGTATATGCAAAAAGACTTACCTAATAAGGAGTGGAAAAAAGTGCTGCCCTACATACTTACTAGAAATGGGTTTCCTATTTAAAATTTGCGCGAATGTACTTAAGTACATATATGTTTATATTATTTAGCATTAGGATGCATTAAGCATTTTAAGTCTCAATAAAACATGTTTGATGATCTGAACCTTAAATATTTAAATTCTTTAAAGAGGTATGATTTTTATGAACTAAAAACAGCTTTAAAAAAACTTCTTCAAAAGGCTTTCAGAAGTTCGTCCTACAAAAGCAAAATCCCTTCAATTTATGCCACTCCGTACAAAAAAGGAAGCAGAAAGAAATGACTTTCAGAAAGGCCTTTTGGAAGACATTTTAACTCCTGAAATTATCCACTGCGTAGTGTGTGTGACCCCTCAGCCGTGAATCTGGCATTTGATACAAAAATAGATTTTAACCAAATGAACTAAACAGAAGGGAGGTAAACTCACCAGATATTGTTCAAAATGTTAGAAAAAATGTTTTATTACCGATTTTCGACTAATAATGCTTTTTTTACGAAGCAAAAATCTGCTAAAAATTAGATAGGTGTCTGTATTGACCTTCACTAAAAAACCAGGACCAAGACACCAGGACAATTTGTTTAAATTAGGACAAATCCTGGAAAACCAGGACGTCTGGCAGCCCTATGCTATCAGCGTTACCATATTGTTGGGATGGGAATTTCTTTCACAGTTAATGGGTGTAAATTTTTTCAGTCTTCTTAGACGAAACCGAACAGGTCTGTACATGATGTACATATGTATTGAACATATGTACATAAAAAGAATAGTGGTATTCACTAAATTGAGCAAGCTAGCACAAGCAAATTAGCTGAAGCTAATCTGCTCTCTTGCCAGAGTGCCAGGCCACTTGTTTAATTTGGTGAATACTTATAATCAGCCCCATTGCGTAAGTCGTAAATTAGGCTAAATTATACGAGTCGACAACAGTAGCATTGTCTATTGTCGTACTGAAAAAAGTAAACGACCAAAATCGTCGAAAACTGTACAGTGCTGCCAAGTTTTTCTGTTTTAATTCACTGGTCGAGTGGAAATTTTAGGCAATGACGTGAAATTTTCGATACGATTCGACTCTCGAAAAACGACTTGCATTCGACACGACTCTCGCAATGAGGGTGAATGCAATTTTACTTCGAAATACAACGGATAATGGCGTACATATGTATGTACCTACGTTTATGGCATTTCTCACCCCTACCCCAAAGATGAAAATGAATCTTTATGCCACTTGTGATCAGATGATTAAGTTAAGTGACATTTTGACCAGTTCTGGTTATATATTGTAAAAAATTTGCTGTGTTTGTTCCGGGAGTGTATAAAATATAGCGACACGTATCGCATCATGCAAATGCCAGTTCATACCATGTCGCTCATGCATGTTTGACAATGACTTATGAATACGCTGTCGAATAAATTGAAATTGAAACATGCATCAAATCTACGCATGTCAACACAAACGACACATCCAAAACGTCAAAATACAAAGCATCAGTCTCTTTTATTACTCAAATCTCAGTAGATTGTGATGCCAAATGTGCGCAACTACGGTTAGATGCTAGTTTTCAACTAGGTTGCGCAAGTTAGACTTTTTTCTAGTGCATTTTAGAAATGCAAGATACTGATGCTTTGTATTTCGACGTTTTGGAATGCAGCCATAGTCAGCATTGGCAATTACATTGTATATACGTGAAGAGATTTTGCAAGCATCTATTTTAGTATAGTAAAATTCATTAAACAAGTGAATGGTCGACGCGAATAACGCACCCTGGTAACACTGGATCAAAAATTTTAATTTTGTTTTTGTTCTCCACTCGCCACAATCCAATTTGTATGTAGAATCACTCGCTGATTCCAAAATCGAGTTATTTTTTCTTTATGGATACGTTTTCAAGATATTTGCAATTTACCGTTACTCAGCTTAAAAAAAAAGAGTGGTTCCACTTAATCACATACATATATCTTACGAACCAACTGAAAAATCGTAATACGATGTAAAGGAAATGAAAGCAAATAAAATTTTCCATAAACCGTAAATACATAACTTTTCGATAGCCCATCATTCTAAATTTTTTATTGTAATGATTGGTCAAATGAAAATGCTCAAGAATTTTTGTATCAAATATGAGCAGAAAAGAGTGTTACTCATACGCCACGTACACCCGAGTAGCTATAGTGTTTGCATTGAAAGCAAGAGGTGTCAGAAATGTTTAATTAATTTCTCAGAAACTATCAGGACTACGAAAATTGATGTATATACAGTGTATGTAGAATTTTATTGGCTTTCATTTTCCATAGCTATTACGATTTTTCAGAATCACCGAGCAATTCTACATAAATAGGAATTGGATAGCGGCATCTATAGAACATTTTTGCTGTAAACCAGTGTAATTAGCATTCTAATGTAACCAAAAAATTCCAAAAACTTTTTATTAAATCACATACATTCCTTGATACTAGGCAATGCAAAATTGAATGCCATACTTTTCTTAGAACACCCGTGGGGAAAAAATGCATTTTCGAATGTCAAAACGGCTGCTTTACCGATTAATTTTTTCGATTACCATACATTACATTTTCCCACTGTATCAGGGACGGATTCACGGGATTGTTTTATACCAAAATATTGCTTGTGTTCTAAAAGCACACTGTGCGGCTTGTGAAAGGACAAGAGATGTATTTTAAAATGCTGTGCATATTTTTCAGATATCAGTTCAGCGATCCGTCCCTGTTCCCTTCCTCACCATTTTGTAGAAGGTAGGCGAATGTCAGATAATAAAGCGAGAAAGCTTTTTTATTTCTTCGCCTATTTATTGCGCCATGTGTATGTATGTACTATGTACCATTTTTGACATTAATGACATTAAACGCAAGTGCGTGTTCAAAATGATAGCTCGGAATGTAATTTGATTGGGGTAAAATCATGGAAACTAAATTGCGATTTTCCGGTTGCATGCCGGCAATAGATAAATATGTAATTTTGTTCATGTTTTGATTCACAATTAACGGATTACGATGATTAGTATACATGCCGATCAATACAATAAAAATATCACATGCACATACTTATATAACTACCCTGCAGGGAAACCACGGACTAGGGAATCAAATTTCTAGTTCCGTACTAGGTCTTTATCGCCAAAAAGGAACTAGTCCGATAGGAGCTAGATCCCCACCAGTCCAAAATCGGCGAAAAGTCGTATTACTTTTAAATAACTAATTTTTTCAGGTTTTTTCACTAGAAATCTATATCTAAAGTGACGAATTTAGAACTGGTTCGGAGCTATCGAAAAAGGGATTCAGCGGGGAGCAATTGACACTTCCTAGGACATCGCCATGTTAAATTCGCCAGTTGTTTGCATACAAAAGAGATTTATCGCGAACCAGTACTGGGTCTAAATGTACTAGAAGCACACCAGTTCAGAACTAGAGATTTTCCCCACAGGGTATGTATGTACTACAATTTTGATACGAATTGCATAAATTCAAGTGATGACAACATTAGTAGTAGTTTTCTCTTCATTAAGGAATAATAGATTCGTAATTTCTCTTTAGTGTAATCAAATAACTAATCAATGGAGTGTCGCACTTTGAGCTTCTACTTATAGCTTTCATTGCTGTTTGGCAAAGCTTTTGTAAAAATACTAGCGTGATAAAAACCTACATAAATAAGTTTCAATTAAAAAAAATGTCCATGAAAAGCGTGCGTGATAAAAAACAGAGGTTTTAATAGCAAGCGTGAATGTGATTGAAAAAATCATCATCGTGAGCGTGCGTAACCTTGAGCCAAAACAACTCTCGCGCCCATCTCTGGTTTGAATATCGAACTACATGACGACCTTAGAGAAGACCAAGGCATTTCAGAACTGCTCCTTGCGGACGAGTAGTTCTAGATGCGTGCTAATACTCTGTAGGACCTATGTAGGTTCGAAAAATTTTAGAAAATGTTGTTTGTAATAGGGGATTGTATATGGCGGCCGTTCATGTTCCGACTAACATAAAAAAGACGAGTAACTTTTAAGCAAAAAACAAAAAAACATGATTTCATCAAACTGTAATGTCGTACAGTGCAATTGAAGTGAATAGCAAAATTTTAAAAAATTTATAAATATTAATTGTGAATGAGTTGGTGATATCTGGATTTTAAATTGATCTTTTGTTTAGTTCTGTTCTCATTTGAAAAACAAAAAACATTTACAATTTTTTCCGATAAGACTATGCAAAACTCATATTCAGAAAAGAAAACGCTATTAGGTGCTGAATGTAAAGGCTTTTCGATAAATAATTTCGAAATCAAATCCCAAAAAAGGGTGCGTATTCTAATAAAAGGCAAACACTTACAGCAAAAAAAAATAGATTCACTTACTTGACAATAATGTTGTTTATAATACTGTATTGAATCCATTGAGCAGCATTTGCGCCCGAATAAAATACAAACAGGAACAAAACTATCCAGCGGCGTTTGTAAACTTTGATTTCTGTAAAAGAAGAAAATATAACTAAGTATAAACAAAATGTATTATAATATTTAAATTTAGTCGGCCGCTGTGGTGTAGTGGTAAGCAGTGCGCGCTTTCACACATCAGCACCTGGGTTCAAGCCCTGGTCAAAGCAACATCCCAAAAAATATAGAAAAAGGTTTTTTCTTAACAGCGGTCGTCCCTCGGCAGGCAAAGGCAAACCTCCGAGTGTATTTCTGCCATGAAAAAACAGCTTCTCATAAAAAATACAATCGCCGTTCGGAGTCGGCGTAAAACTGTAGGTCCCTCCGCTTTGTGTGACAACATCAAGGCGCACGCCACATGTCGGAGGAGAAGCTCGGCCAAACACTAACATATGTGTAAGCGCCAATCTATTATTATTATTATTATTAAAGGCATTTCCGCATAAACTCTGCAACAATAGTTTTGTGTCTTACGTTGTGCCAAAATAAATTGTTGGCACTTTACTACAATCGTAGCAAATTTAAGGTTAATGAATAAGTTAAGATGGATGTTAGGTATATTTATAATACTGGTGGTTTTATTTTGCCATCTTTAATGAAACAGGTAGTTTTGTCGCTTACGTCCTTTTTGCCGTCACAAATAAAGGCTACTTACTGCACGCAATTGCGGCTGTTAAGCCAAAAGATTTATAAAAAAAAAAACACAATTTTTGCCATTAACAAAAACCATTTGATGTCGTTAACTCATTTGTTTTATGCTTGTTATTAAGAAAACAACCTTTCAACACACAAACATACGTTATTGATTAAAATACTATTTCGATGTAAAAACGAATGGCGATTTCGTTTGTCCCAAAAGAAAAACCGCGAAGTCTGTTCTGCCTTTTCCAAGTTGGACAAGGAAGCAAAGCGAATGGGTCTGGTGGTAAACGAGGACAAGACGAAGTATCTCCTATCATAAAACCAAGCAATCAGCACATTCGCGCCTTGGCACGTCCATGTTGACAGTTATAATTTCGAGAAAGTAGAGAATTTCGTTTAGTCGGGAACCAACCGAAAATAAAATAAAGTCAGCATGGAAATCCAACGCAGACTCACTCTTGCCAACAAGTACTACTTTGGACTGAGTCGGCAATTCAGGAGTAAGAGGACTCGACGTACGAAAACCACACTCAGAACCATGGACAATGACAACATCCGATGAGGTGGCTCATGGAGTATTCGAGAGAAAGATTTTGCGGGCCTTTACGCGTTGGCGACGGCGGATACCGCAGACGACGAAACGATGAGCTGTATGAGCTTTACAACGACATGTACATAGTGCAGTGAATTAAAATACAGCGGCTCCACTGGCTTGACCATGTCGTTCGAATGGACACTGACGCTCCAGCTCTGAAAGTATTCTGGCTTCACTTGGCATTTCCAATTTCCGTCACTTAGCACAGAAGGGAAACGACTGTCGTGCTTTGTTGAACTCGGCCAAAATCGCTTTGGCGGTTACAGCGCCTAATAAGAAGAAGAAGAGAATTGATCTATAATCTTATCAGTCACACAGTGTTTTAATCCCGACGAAATTTTTGACGGTGGTGCCGGGAGGGGAACGGTACATGACGGTAGGAAGTTTAGTAGCTTGGGTTAAAGTCTCATACTGACGGGGTTAGGCTTTCGATGCTTCCTCCTCGTAAATAGCTAACTATTTAAATCGACGAATAGTTTTATTTCAACTTTTGTGAACTTCTGTTTATGTGTTTTTGTACAACATATTTACCTCTATTGGTTACAATAATTTTATAATAAACAATTTTTTATTAAGTAAGGTATTGGTTTTGAATTTTTTTTTTTTGTATAGGCTCCGCCCTAAATTTCATTCTGGCTACGCCCATGGCGGAGTTATAACAAAAAATCGCATATCTGAACAATCAGTTGTATGGGAGCTATATGTTATAGTGGTCCGATTCATCCGGTTACAAGTATACATTTTAATGGGTCTATCTCTTCTTATTTTGGTACTTACAAACATCGGACCAAAGTTATACTACAATTTCATGCTCATGAATGGTATAATAATATGGAACATCCAAGGCGGAGGAGCGGACCTCCTTATATGTATGTATGTACATATGTGTGTAAGTATGTATATATAAATACATACATACATATGTACAAATGTAAACTCCATGCATACCTTCGATTTTTCGTGGTCCAGTGCTTGGGTGAACTGAATATTCACTTTCAGTAAGCCTCGCCGGCCGCAAATCAGTTTCGGTAGTCGTCATTTTGTTTTTGTTGGAGCCGTCTTTCGTAGCTCTGCCTAGTTGTTGTGGTTCTTGTTGCGGCTCTTATGTTGAACATACTCTGTTGTATTTTAGTTGCCCACCATTACCTCTTTCTTGATACATAATACGTACTAAATATTTCGCAGTGGGACGGTTATTTGTTGCTCGGTGGTATTGCAATTTCAAAAAGATATGTTTTTAGTTTACACTTTTCCCTAATATTCTCTTGCACTGCAATGATAATTTTCGGTTGCGATTCCGGCACATTCAATCACAGACTGCTTGCGGACCGCTAATTATTTTAGTAAAGACGTCGTCATCACAGCCGTGGGTGAGTTGATTTAAGCTGAACAAAGATAAGCTGAAACGTGAAAAAAGATATGTAAATGGAAATTTGTATGTACTTGCATTTAGTTATGTACTAGATATAGTACGAGCATGAACAATGGTAGTTGTAATAGAAAAAGCCTTGACGCAATTTAAATTATGTTCTTGAATGAAAATCCAGTTGTAAGCAGTTTTTGAATGACTGATTACACTTTCTCACGCCCTTCGCGTGTGCGAATAATGAATGATTTGTTTGAGTGATTTACCCAACCCGTTCAGCACTCTTACTATTGGCACGGGTTAATCTAACCATGAGCTAGCAATAGAACTAAATTGGTTAATTGTTGTAAATTGAGACATTCCGATTTGGTGCGAAATTGACAAGGCATCCAATTAGGCAGAAAGCTATAACGATTAAAATAAACAACTTAAATGTGATAGCCATATTTGATGAATACGACTGACAGAGTTGGCATAAGAAAATAAGCAAGTAAAAGAGATGACATATGTATGTATGTACATACTCGTTCATACATACATACATAAGTACTAGGGATGTCAATATTAGCGGAAAATTGTGATCCCGAGTTTTCGGTATATTTTTTAAGTAATCCCGGGATTGCGTAATTCACCTTGAGACATAACTATTATGAACATGAGTAGAAATTCAATAACTGTAAGCTTTTAAACATACCCTAAAATAAAACTATTTAAAATTTACGATAAACTGATTTAAAAAATCACATATTTATTAATACAGACAAATCTTGAACTAATAATTGTTCTAAATTGTATTTAAAAAAACAATGTGATTGAGGAACGCATGCATCACATATAACCAGGTACTTTTGAAAGTAATAATTAATAAAAAAAAAATACATTTTCTGCCGTTTTTCGCAATTTTCGTAATTTACTGGAAATTTTGAGGGTGTTGATGAGTCAAACGGACCTCAGATTTGGATTCCGGCTCGAAATATCTACATGTCGATAGGTGTGTCCGGTTCAAAGCGCACACCACTTTTTCTGTGTGCATTTAAAATGTGTACGTAAGAGCAGCAAAGCATTCAAAGCGGAGTCTTCTAATCTTGACTTGAACTTGTTACATACAACAGCTGCTGATGAAGACCATGTTTCGGCCTCAACATTTGTCGGCTGAACTGCCAAAAGGTGGCGGTAAGCCATATGAAGACAATGACCCCTATCTACTCCATAACAAAATACTTAAAAATTCTTCTACCAGCACGTCGGAAAAATTATAAGTTTCTCGATTTGAGGAAGTTTGAGTAAATTGATTTAAAAAATTATGTAACTTTTCTTTAAAACTTTCAGATTCGTTTTCGTTAGCGACGCTATGAGTACATTCATTTATATATATACAAAGGCTCAGGTGGTAATTATAAAGGTATAATTTCAAGGTTTTAGTTAATTGTAGTCAAAACGGCATTTTGAAAAAATTATACTTCAACATTCAAGAACAAATTCTTCCTTTCAATTCGATATTTACAATTTTTCGGGATCCCGGGACTGCAATTTGCATTTTGCCTACTAAAGATTAATGGGCTATAAAACGGCATACCTTTTTTTCTAAAAGTTCTGAATAAAAAGTTTTAAATTTTTGGGGTAAAATCGGTAAAGTTTCTTGAATGTAGACTTTTATAAAAAGTATTAAACATTAAATAAGCAAAGTAAAATAACCAAAACTGGTCAAAGTGTCAGTTAATTTAAACAGCTGACTACAAGGGTATGTACATACATACCTACATACAGATGCATATGTAAAATTCATATTGAATTACAGCTTAATACGTTGAATTTATGAAGCAAAAACAAGAAGTTCGCATTGCTCATAAAAAATGTTCATACGTAGATATGTATGTATGAATAAGTGCAAATGCAAGTTGACGCAATACCCTGCAGGGTAGAAACATCGATGTTTTTTTTTTCAAAATTTGTAAATTTTCGCTGGGGAACAAATTCTATCATATAAAAAATACTTATAAAAATATAGAGTTTAGTTTTTTTCCATATTTAGCTTGAATATAATAAATTATAATCCTTTTGTCCCTTCAAGGGCTTGAGTTCAAAAAGTCTTTTAAAAATTATTCAATAATAAAAGGTTTGCTCAGAAAACAGTTTTCTTGTTTCAAAACTCTAATGTTATGTCACTAAAGAGAGAACCTTTAATTTTTGAATCATGTAAATGAGGTGCGTTCTTAAAGTGTTTTAAATATTATTAAGATTTTTGCTGACTTATGAATAATTGCTTATTTTACCTTTCCACGCGGGGTTGCAATTTGCAAAAACATCGACGTTGGCAGCTCATATAAAAATATCGATGCATTGATGTTTCCATCGATGTTTCTCCAGCTCTTCTGCAGGGAGCATCTTCGAACCAGAATCGTACTGGTCTAAGATAATGTATGTTTCTTTATTAAATCCAAACGTTCGGAATAAATTTTTCCGTTTACTTCTTCGCTAAAACGTTCTGTGCATCTAGCACAGAATTCATGGAATATTCTGCTGAACAGCTGTTATGCTCATACATATGTACAAGTGTAAACAATTGCAAGAAAAGAATGGCGCTAGAGAAACCAAGTATGTTTTCGCTAATTGTTTTACGAAACAACCTTTAGAAAATTAAATTAAATATTAATAAGCACCAAAAGGTTATTTTCTATCTGGTTCCTTAGAACTTAATTCTTTTCGATTTCTTTATTCCCATTGTTCCGGATAAACTACGATTATTCTATTCTAGATCCGGAATGAATAAAGAAACAAGCCCACTGTTTGCGATGTGCCCAAATGATTTATTTCTATTTGCCGTAGTTGAAATTGGCACAAACTTACTCTATTTGACTAGTTCCGAAATAGTCCAAAGTTATGCGGAGAGCAATTTGCCACAATGCAATGCTTAATTCGCCAGTTGTTTGCGTGGAAATAGTACCCACCACCGTAGTCTATTTACTTTACTAGTTATTTCTGAACTGGTATCATTTCTTGCAGGGTATGCACATACGCATGTATATTAATATACATATATGAAATTAAACTCATTTGGGCCCGGGTATTTACAAATTAAGGGACAGGTAGAATTTATCACGAACCGGATTGCCTATATAAACAAGCTCGATGCAAAAGCCGTTACTACGTTTGCATGTAGTTATGCATACATACATACATACATGTAAAAACAGCTACATCGTCTTTTTCTATAACTTTTTTATTTATACAGTGCCGAACAGAACAGATACAGAAGTATTGGCACAGAGAATTTTTCNATATAGTTCATTTTACACCAGAAAACGTAATAATAAAATCTCTAAACTTTGTGCAAAACTCAGGAAAATTCTTTAAATTTGCACACTAATTTGCAACTTTTTATTCAGATTTTTTAAAAAAATTCAAAGTATGCAGTTTTATAGCCCATTCAAATTTAGTATAACAAAGTGCAAGTTTGAAGTCGCTAGAAAATCGCATTGATTTTTGGTAATTTTTTTTACGCAAGTTCTTCCATACAAAGTATATTTGACAATTATTTTTTGTATGGAGAAAATAAGCAACACCTTCCACTAAAAAAATTGCCAAAAACCAACTCGATTTTCTAGCAACTTTAAACTTGCACTTTGTTATACTAAATTTGAATGGGCTATAAAACTGCATACTTTGAATTTTTTTAAAAAATCTGAATAAAAAGTTGCAAATTAGTGTGCAAATTTAAAGAATTTTCCTGAGTTTTGCACAAAGTTTAGAGATTTTATTATTACGTTTTCTGGTGTAAAATGAACTATATATTTATAAAAAATGATCGAAAATAAATTAGAATACAAAAATTTGCATATATGCGAAAAATTCACTGTGCCAATACTTTTGTTCGTCACTGTATGTATGTAAATTAAATATGTAGTTCAATTGATCAAAAAAGTTAGTAAATGCAGTGCGCAGAATTATTCTCTTCTTATGTACATACATTTGTAGAGTCCGACCGATAATCGGCATCGGCATCGGTTAGTATCGGCACAAAATTGAGCATCGGTATCGGCCTTTTTTCGCCGATTCTTTGCAGATTATTTGGAATTTCTTTTCATATGTTCAGGTGAAGCGACAGACAACCGGCAACATCAAAAAACATTTGCAGACAGGTCACAAAAATGATTTTTTTTTTTTGGTTGAAGGTGTTTCACGTGATTTTCCATACAAAAGTATGTTCGACAATTTTCTTTTACTAGTGTTCGCCCAGCGGTTGAAATTCAACCGCTAAAATTAAGGATAGTTTATGTGAGTTGAGTTGAGCTGAAATAAAATTTGTTGGAATGGGTCAAGTGGAGGGGAGTTTAGCTTAGTACTTAGCATAACATAACATAGAATATCATTAGATTCAATAACATAACATATGTAGCATAACACATCACAATATAACATCGCACATTCTTCAGTTGTATTTCCTTTTTATCCCTATCACTTTCTTCCTCTCTATCTTTGTCTCTATCGCTTTTAATGTTTATGTTTATGTTTATCTACACCTTCATGTTCATGTTCATGTTCAAGTTCATGTTCATGTTCATTTTCATGTTCATTTTCATGTTCATGTTCATGTTCAAGTTCATGTTCATGTTCATTTTCATGTTCATTTTCATGTTCATTTTCATTTTCATGTTCATGTTCATGTTCATTTTCATGTTCATGTTCATTTTCATGTTCATTTTCATTTTCATGTTCATGTTCATGTTCATATTCATATTCATCTTCATCTTCATCTTCATCTTCATCTTCATCTTCATCTTCATCTTCATCTTCATCTTCCTCTTCATCTTCATCTTCATCTTCATCTTCATATTCACCTTCGTCTTCATATTTATCTTTTCCTTTATCCTGATCTATATCTTCATTCTTTTCTCCATTTACGTATTTACCCCCACCATTGTTATTAGGTTAGGTAGTTAAATTTTCCTTCCTCTTTTTCTTTACATTGTTTCTTTAGTGATATCATGTCATGTGTTGAAATTGGGTGTGGTGAGTTGCAGTGTGGTGGAATTG